TAATTCAATTTTATTTATAATAAATTTGATATGTTTGGAGCCACATATTTAATAATTTATCATTTAATATCCTTATTATATATATAATTATGATATATTTATATTAAAATGTGATTAATTTTATTACATATGTCCTTAATTGCACATAAAAATATTATGTTTTAATATGACTAAATTATGAAATAATACAACTAATTTATTTACAAAAAAAAAATATTTTCTTAAGTCCATAATATAATTTACATTCTTTTTTTTTTCATTTGGAGATTGATTGAATTTTCTTAATTAAAATAATTAATAGTTAATTATCCTTTTACTTTTTAGTCTTCCAAGACCTCAGACGTGCAGGCATAATTATCAGTCTAAACCAAGGGTATTTAAGGAACGCTACAACTACAAAATCAGTGAGCCGGCGTCTCGTCGGAAACCGGACGACCAAGTCGACATGGAGAGCCCCCGCCCGCCCTCCCCGCGCTTCACCCGGAGCCGGAGCGGCACACCGCGCCTCTGCCACGTAAATACACCTCTGTCACCGAACCTCGGCAACCGCCCTCGGTCCCGGTCGAGCTCCGCGACCAAGACCCGGCCAGCCGGCTGCAACGCCGGAGAGACCGGGGATTCCATTCGCCGGTTGTGCAAGGAGAACAGGGTGGAGGCGGTGGGGCCCAATGTGAAGAAAGTCGTCGTCAGCGTGACACCGTCCGCGTGGGCCCTGTCGCCGGGGAGGTACCCGGCGACGGAAGGCGGGAGCGGCGGAGGTGGCGTCGGCGGGAGGAAGAGAGGGGTGTTAAGCTTTTTCCGGCGGAAAAAGGACGCGGCAGCGGGGAGGGAGGAGGTGGAGCATCGGTTGAGGGTGATGGCGGTGAGGCTGTTGCAGTGGAGATTTGTGAACGCGAGATCGGAGGCCGCCATGGCCGCCAGCACGGCTGAGGTGACACGGTTATTTAGTTTATAATTTTCGAAAGCAATATTACTCTCTGTGTTTTATTCCAATCAAATAACTGAATTAAAATTTTATGGATATTACATAATTGGCATCATTGGCCTTGCCGGTGTAATGGGCATGGATGGTAGTCTATGATAGGGGCGAATTATTACGTCCTGTCACCGGATGTTCGGACATCCAATCCAGATGCACCACATCACCCAAATACACTGGAACCCGATATATTTTGATGACGTGGTGCATCTGGATTGGTGTCCGGACGAATCTGGACACCGGACGTAATAATTTGCCATGATATATACGGTTCATGATTGGGCGAATTATTACGCCCGGTCACCTGACGTCCGGACATCCAATTCATATGCGCCACGTCCCCCAAATACACTGGGACCCGACATATTTTGGTGATGTGGCGCATCTGGATTGGTGTCCGGATGAATCCGGACACCTGGAGTAATAATTTGTCATGATAGGATGGAAGGAATTAGGTGAAGATGAGGCCATTTTCATAATGTTTTTAAGTAATAAAATTTTGGAGTTGGTTGGAAGTCATGTTAGAGTAGAGGAAAAGAATACTATATTATTGGTCATCTTAGCTACTAATAACATCACATACATAATTAGAGATATAAATAAAGAAAACAAGACAAACAAGGTCTTTTATAAAAATTTTCAAAACAGGAAATAAATTATAAGGTATTGTTCAATTAAAATTCCTTTTATTTATGATATGAAATTAGTTAAAATTGGTTGTGATTCCTTGAATTTGTAGAATGTGTTTACGAAAATGTAAGTTAAATTATGATGTCGATAGTAGTTTTATTGTTGGTGATGCAATAAGATTGGATATTTGGATAATTGTTTTCTTGGAAGTAAAGATACTTCGACCTAAGAGTTGTAGATAGAGTAATAGTAAAAGGTTGGGGACCCAGTACTGATGGCCAGTGCATTATCCCTATGAATTTGGAGACACTACAGGAAAACACGGGAATACCGTCGGATGTTCCAGCGGAATTTTTTGCGTCGGTAAATAAGGCGTTTGTACCGGCGCATAATGCGAAGGAATATTAACGGTTATTGAACAATCTGTGATATTTTTAATATTAGTTAGTTGATGCCATTGAACAATCTGTTTTAATGAATATTTATGTTTTTAAGTATATGTTAAAGTTCTTGAGATATGTGATGTGTAGATGTGTTGTGCAACTATTATTGTATGTATTTGTATATGCTTGCAGGTGTGAAAATCCGATTGTTGGCTGGGAAGGCAAATTTTTTTTTGTTATTGCTACAAGTTTCCGATAGATTTGACGTCGGAAATACGCCGAAAACGACGATACAACGAATTGATGCAATGATGCCGGTGTTTTATTTCCGCCGGAAATACCGGCGGAAAACTCGCCGGAAACAAGTCGTAGCTTTAGTTACGACGCACCTTACGGCGTCTTATCCGCCGGAGTTTTCGGCGACTAAAGGGCGCCAGAAACAAGTCGTAGCTTTAGTTATAGCAAACCTTATGGCGTTTTATCCACGGTTATTTCCATCAGATATGTATGTCTTAAATTCTGGCGTATATAACGCCGGAATAATCTGTTAAGAAATGACGTTTTGGTTAACACATTTTACGCCGGTAATGCATCGGAGAGTGCGCCGGAAAGGTTTCCGGCGTCTTATAAACATCGGAAGACATTTTTCGAGGCGCACCAAACCGGCGTACGAAATTCCGACGGAAATGCGCCGGAAACCAAGAATTTCCGTCGTATTTTACGTATTACCAGCGGATACGTTGCGGATACGTTCCGCTGGTAATACCGAATTTTTCTGTAGTGAGATGATGTGACTTGAAGATAACAAATGAGGTGACACTAAAATGCCAAATAGGTCATTAATGTTGACCATATTGGTCCTCTCCTAGAGGTGAAAGTAGTATGACCTAAGACCAATAATGTGGCAGTGTGTTAAGGTCAAAAAGGTTAGGAAGAAAAAACATAGTAGTCCTCCCTTGGAGGTTTTAGTGAAGGAATTATAGAGGTATTATCATAAATAATAATGAAAGATGGTAATGATAACCTATGTCGTGGCGAAAGGGAGGAGTGAACTACTCAAGGTTAGCAGAAAAATAGAGGTGGCTAGGACAGTCCTAAACTAAATGACCAGGAGTAAATGGGAAACTAATTATGATAAAAAAAAAATTATTTCCACTAAGGAAGGGAATGGAATTACACAACTGTAATGACCTATATGAATAAGGTGATTAAGATGAGAAATTGAAAAATAATAATACAACAATTATAAAATCAAGCCTTCCTCCCATTACGTAGGGTTGGCTATATGAATAATTTTTTTCCCATGATGTCATCTTAAGAATTAAACTATCATTTAAATTTAATAAAAAATATCATTTATAATACTTTATGATTAACCAAATCTTTTTATATCTTCCTCTATCTTTCTTAACATAAACTAGATCAATACATATACTCTACTACCGGGTCATTGGAAGACCCACGTTTTTATGTGACTAAACCATCTAAGTAAACTCTCTCTAATCTTATTTTCCATTGGAGAAACTCTAACCTTTTCACGTATGTACTCATTTTGCATTCTTTCTCTAAGTGTACATCCACTCATCCACTTAAGGATCTTCATCCTCCAACACTTAACTTTATTTTATGCTTCTCTTTTAATGGCCAACATTCTGTGTCATAAAGCATTACAAGTCTCACCATCATTTTATAGAACTTTCCCTTAAGTTTGAGGGGTACTTTTCTATCACATAACAAGCTAGATGCATTCCTCCACTTCAAGCATCCTACTTGAATTCTGCTAATAATATTTCCATCTATTTCACCATTGCTTTGAAAAATAGACCCAAAATATCTAAAACATGTACTCTTTTTAATTACTAGATCGCCCAAAATCACATTCCCCTTCTCGATTTATTACTATTAAAATCATTGTTCATATATTTAATTTTAGGTCTACGTTAACAAAAATATTTAGACTCTAAGATTAGCCTCGATAATTCAAGTTTTCCTTCAACTCCCTGTTTAAGCTTATCAATAAGAAAAAGGTCAAAAATAGTTCCTATACTTGAAAGGACGACGGCAAACTGAATGATTAGATCAATTGACTATAAAGTAAGAATTTATGGATATCTAGATGGAGAATCTTTTAAATCATGGTATATAATCTAAGTGATCAGGGCAAAGAATATAAAATAATTAGTTTTGAAAAGTCTAGGAACACTAGAATACCTTGCTAGAACTTCTAAGTTTAGAATCTAAGAAAATAATGAAAAAAGGATATTTATTTTTATATTTTAAGTGATATATTCTAATAATTATCTAGCAATATGCTGAATATTTGATATTCCTAACAACAATGTACATGTTAAATTACACCACTTAATTGGAAAATAACTAGAAAATCATATGATTGACTTGCTCAATTGACCCTGCTAGACCTAAGTCAAGTTCAAGGGCCAATAGGTCTGGTGGTAGTAATGGGTAATATCTGTATAATTGTATGAATGAAGTCTTCAATTAATGAACATGATAAACTAATTTAAAAGTCTTATTGACAAAAAAATAACAAAGTTAATAAATTATGATTTCTATGTGGTAGGACAAGCCATACCAATTTTGATAAAATTTATGGATCAAAATTAAGGCTAGGTAAGAATGACAATGATACACTAGAACTTTTGAACTAAAATGCTCATCTTCATGAGAGCAATTTAGTGTTACAATTGACTCATGAATTGGAACCTATAAAAACCTCAATAATTTGAACAAATAATTGATATTAAATTTAGGGTCATAAAATGTTACAAAATATGATATTAGGAGTGTCAATATTTGACATAACACGAAAACCCGACTTAAACCCAACCAAAAAATTCCTCGGACCCGAAACGGGTCGGGTTCAGGTTCAACAATTCGACCCGTTTCAAAAATCAGGTCGGGTTCGGGTTGACCCTTTTATTCGAAATTAACCCTTTTTTTACTCGAAAATCCATTTTTGACCCAGAAACTCGAGATTGACCCATTTTTTATCTAAAAAGTGGAGATTTACCCATTTTTTGCCTAAAAATTAATAGTTTTTTTCATGGTCCCGAGTGATTTGGGTTATATTGGGTTGACCCGAACCCGAAGCGGGTTGGGTTCGGGTCTGAAAAACCGACCCTTTTGAAAAACCGACCCTTTTGCAAAAACGGGTCGGGTCGGGTGGTTGGCCCAAATAGTGTCAGGTCAGTTTCGGGTTAGACTAGAATCTGACCAGTGACCCAAAATCGACACCCCTATATGCCATCGTTTATGCATAAAAATATTCATTTCTCTAAGAGAAATTCAATGCCACAATTGCTTATGAATAAGAGACCTTAAAGTTCATTTAGGAACTCTAGGAAGTATTGATTCATGTGAGTAAATTGAATATAAACAAGTTAAATTTGAAACAATTTAACGGCATGATTATATTGCTCGTGGCAAGAAATTGCATGTAGGATAGTGGCGTACAGTGGTAATTATCTCCCATTAGGATGTTATCATAAAGTAGGTGTATAAAGAGAGGAGAGAAAGCAAATTAAATCAGATCGGTTTTTAGTTCACTTTGATTTAGATCATTTAGATTTTAATTTGGATTATTTTCATGTCATTAAAATTATCATGGCATAATGACCACTTTGATTATAAATTTGAGTAAGCTCAATCCACTAGGTGATTTAAAGATCCAAAATTTTGTGTTTAGATATGTGCTTGATAGGATGAAATCTTTTGTTATCCAATCAATTTTTTCATAGTTTTAAACAACAAATCCAGTAAATTTTTTAAATATTTTGAATATTACAAATTTTGTAAATCAAATTTTAACTTAAGAAAAACAACAAGGTATAACAAATCCCTAAATATCACCCCCCAAACAACGATATTTATTCACATTAAAATTTCGCCAATTCATCAAGTTGTAAAAGAATTCTTTGCTACCCAAGTAGATACATTGGATTCTCAGAGCTATTTCATGTGACTAAAAAGTTTTTTTTTTTTTTTTTTGATCATCATGGTAGCTTAAAATCATCATAAAACAGGAAACACCAATAATGATAATATTTAGACAACTAGAACAAGAAGCAATTCTGACTGATGCTGGTCAGCTAAAAACATGAAAAACAAAAACTTAAGCAAATCTCTGGTCTCTTTCAAAAACCTGAAATAGATGATGCTAAAAGGCTGCCTAAATCTAGTTCATGCGCCTGATAAGCTCGTTGATATAATCTTCACGGTATCCAGCATCTCCACCTTCAACATAATGATTCCTTTTCTTCTTTAGTCCTCCAAGTGTCGCCTTCAGCTTAAATGGCCAAAGAAAATTATTGTCCTCCTTAAAATGAGGCCCTACAGAAAAAATTTCATGAATGAGGTCCTCAATGCATATAATGTCCTGCTTTCCTAGCCCCTGCTCAATTATGCCATTGTTAGTTCATGGAATCCTTTGCTTGTTCAGTTTCCCATATCCCCTCTTGTATATCAATTCCCTTACGCTTTTAAGGTTTGGATAACCATAGGTGACATAAGGCTCCACCCTGCGGAGCATATTAATAATAGCTTTGTTCACTTTCAAGAAAACTCCATTAAAAATCTGTCTCAGGCGCAAAAGTTGCAGGATCTTCTTAGTTTTCGGATGCATGGCATTGATCCCGCGGATTCTGATAATGAACAGAAGCTTGGCCTCGGGGCAAACGTAGAAGCCTCCTTTCAACCTAGCCTCGCGCTTTAACTGGATCAGTTCCCTCTCTTGCTTCTTGTATTCCTTAGCGTACTGCTCTGCCCTCTTAAAAATAAGTTTGCGATTCTCGAGGTTTTTCTTCCTCTTCTCGTCGAGCTTTTGCTTCTTCTCTAGAGCCCATTGCTCCTCCCTCTTGCGCTTTTTCAATACGGACTCGGGGATCACGGATTTCGCCTCCGCCTCCGACATTTCTCAAACTAGCTCGCTCCCTCTCGGGCGCTGCGGCTTCAGATCCAGAAATAAATGACGACCGAGTTCGACAAAAGGCCGCGCAGCATGTGACTAAAAAGATTGATTTGGTGATAAAGAGCTGCCAAATCTTTGCTAGTTAGCTTAGCCTTTCACTTGCTTTTGTAAGTGGAATGTAACTTTAGGAAGGATGAAACTTCTCTAATCCCTTTCTTCTTCTTGGTATTAAAAGTTAGATGGTTTAAGTTTGGTTTAAGGAAGATGTTTGCTCCTAATATCATTAATTAACTTGGAAGCTCTAACAATATTAAGTGGTCTCTATAGATTTTATGGAAGTTTAATAGTCTTTGTATACTTGTTCTAGTTGGATAGTTTCCATTTATCATGCTTCCTCTTATACTTTCTCATATTTCATTTGATGATGAACCCGCCTTAAGGCTTAATTTTAGTAAGTACTTATTAAACACTAGATTTCGGCTTTGTTTGAGATAACTTTTTTATAGCTTTCTAAAATAATTTTTTAGTACAAAAATTTCTAATTAAAAAAAATTGTACAGAAAAGTCATTTTAGAAAGCAGCAAAAAACTGTCCCAAACGAAGCCTCAATATGGGCATACTCGTTAATAAGCTCTTGAGAGACTTTTGGATAAATGGAGAGCTTGCCTGCTCACTTGCATTCTTTGGACCTACACATCCACAAGCCATCTTGAAGATTATTAATGAAGAACATTTCTAACATTAGTTATCCTTTGGAATTCACTCATTAGTGTGCTGTGTGGGGGATTTCTAAATAAAAAATGACATTTACTTTTGTGTTCTGCTGGTGCATGTAATAATGATGTTCTCTCCTAAGAACTTTTGGAAAGTTGGAGAACTTATTCTCTAACTTATTTTTTCTTGAATTCCTTCTTTGCAATGCACTCTTGGAGACTACTGAAGAATTGAAGAGCTTGTTTTCTCACTTACCCTCATTAGGCTTGCTGCTCAGGAGCTTCTCTTGTGACTTTTGTGGAGTAATTAATGGAGATTTTTAGGGAGGACCTGAGTGCTGCAAAGAGAGGAGTTGACGATAGCGTCGGCTATGTAGTCGCCTTTACCAAAACTAAATAGATTCTCGTCTGAAACTGTATTGTTTTCCACTGCAGAACAAAATCTTCTTTGCGTGGCTGAAGCTAACTGAGCTAAGGAACATTGTTGCTGCCAAAAGGATATTAATTCAAAGGAGAAAGCATAAGCTGAAGGTGATTAAGGTGCTTAATCCACAACTTAATCTTCTTAACAGATGGGAACTGCTGGCCAGAAGACATCTTGAGGCTGTGGCTTCTTTGATTAAAGTTTTGGAAAGCGCATGCGTATCTATTCCCTTGGTTGAGGGTGCTAAGGTAAATTAGTATTATGTTTATATAGAAATATTGGGATGTTTTTTTATGGTTTGTCTAATAAAAGTTGAAATTTTTTCACTTGAAGTTTTGCTTGACAAGGATTTTACTGATTTTGCAGGCTAATTTGGTGATGGTTCATAACTTCATTTTTAGCTCAATGGATATTATGTTGGCTATTGAAGCTGCAATTAGAACATTTTACTCCAAGGTTTGCATATTTTATTCATATTTTTAGCTATTAGTCTCTTATTTGTTTTACTTAAGAATGGTTTTTTGCTTATTAAGATCTAATTTATGTTGGAGAAGATGAGGAGTAAGCACTACAATGACGATACAAACAAGAATGTAAAAGCAACGTAAAACTAAAGGATAACAAGATTTAACGTGGAAAAACTCAAAATAAGGAAAAAACCACGGAGCCACACCACACCAAGAAATCCACTATGAAAATTGAGAGAAATAAGTACATATCTCTCTTCTCTCTCACTCTCTTCTTGATTCTCTTCTCATATGCACTGTTTTCAATGTTTACATGCTCAAAATACAATAGAAAGCCAAGTAAAATAACCCCAAGGGACGCAACCCTTCAGAAAAATAAGAAAAAAATTGTTCAGTCTTCCTCGTAACATTGTGGCGTCAGTTTAGGGCGTTGCAGCGCTCAAGTTTCTATCTTGCACCGTTGCAGAGTCATATTTATAGTTTTATACCGTTGTGGCACTCTGCTCTCTTTCGTTCAATGCTGGGGCTCTTAGATACGTAACGTCGTGGCTCTTGAGTACACAACGCTAAGGCGTTGTACATAAAGAAATTATAGGCGCAAAGCACCCAAACCCAAGCAGGGACTAAAACCCCCGCACCTCCCAACGAACACGACAAACTTTGAGGTCCAAGATAACATAAAAGTCAAATTGATCAACACAATGAGATACTACACATATCAATTTAGAAATAAATTTATTTTATGTTTAGATACATCATGAATTATATTATTTAAAGCATAGGTATTTACATGCTTATGATAAGCTATGAAATCTTCTCCCTTAATGTTTTTATTCTTTGCCTTTCAATGATTTTTAGGGCCTGTTTGAGACAGCTCTCTACCTATTTTACTTTTTAGACAATAACCACAATTTCGTTTGACTACTATTTTCTCACAGTTTTCTAAAAATTTTTGTTATGGACAATCAGAATAGCTAAGTTATTTTCCCCACAACCAACTTTATAAGCGATGCAGCCGTTCCAAACAATCCCTTAAATTTCATTTGGGGTATCTTATAGTTTTCCATTTATGTTTTTAAAAATCTCATTTTTCAACCACAATTTTGAATATACTTTTCAAAAAACAGCTTTTTAAAGACAAAATATTGAAAAATAAAATTATATAAAATTTTTTAATAAATATATATTATTTTTTATTAATTACTATTCCTAACAAAAAACATTAAAAAAATTATCTCAAAGCCTAATTTCATTCCCCCTCTGCTTCCAGACTGAGCTATTAAAGTCATCGTTGTGCGAATTGGTGAAAATCATACCAGAAGAAGTACAAGGCTTGGATGAATTGAGGAACACAAACAACTTAATCACTTCTCTTGAGGTCAGTTATGTTCCTTTTAATTAAGGGACTATTTAGGATTTTTCTAATTTTTGTAATATTTTTATTTTTATTTCTTTTTAATTATTTAAAGTATTTTCATTGAAGTCACTGAGTTATTTATTTTTTTATTTATTTATTTTCTTTATCAGATGCATGAGACTAGCCTAAGAGCCAACCTTATTCAAGCAAAGAAGAGGGAAACTGCATCTCCTCCTATTTATGAGATAAAGACAGGACTTTCATGGAAGCATTTCCATCCACATTATCTAATTATGTAGGTTAATTAATAACTAATGATAATTATGACACCCTTAATCGCAACTCTTATGGCCTGATCTTATTTAGATTTTATTTGTGACAGTTTTTTTACTATTTTCTAAAGCAACTTTTTTAATTATAATTTTTTTAACTAAAAAGTTGCCCTAGAAAACAGTAAGAAAGCTGCCGCAAACGAGAGAAATTATTATTCGCGGAGTCCAGTTGTCATCCGGACTCCAATCAGAATCGGCCACGTCGTCTGTAAATTTTGTACACATCTTTTATAAAAATTGTATATTGTGTACAGGCCGACGTGGCATGTTCTGATGGGAGTCCAAAAGGAAGCTACATCTGGACTCTACACGTAATAATTTCTCCTTATACGAAGCTTTAATTTGTAGTATATTAAACTTATGGGAATGCTTAGCTTAAGTTAATTACAATATGTATCATTTATCTTTATTTAAGCTCGTGTAACTATTTAAATATATGTATTGTGATAATATGTCGTGTTCTCTTGTAATGATTATAATTATTTTATCTGTGTATTTTGTCCTTCTCCATGTAAACATTAAATGGGCTGCAAAGGAAAGCCTTAATGCTTCGTAAGGATAATTAATTTTATTTCCTGTTAATTAATTTTTATTTTTAATAACAACTAGCTTCAATGTGTTAAGAGTTCAACTTATTTGATTCAATTCATGAAGTTAATTATTTTAGATTTAGTATTAGACAATTTTTTTTATTGTTTTTTAAAATAACTTTAAAAATATAAGAAAATTGTCTCAAATGAAGCATTAGGACGGCTTTTTCTTATTTTCTAAAATTATTTTTAGTACAAAAAAGCTTACTTTGGAAATTTTTTCGCTAGAAAATTACTTAAGAAAGTAGTAAGAAAGTCGTCTCAAACGAAGCCTTAGTCTTAGAGTATCTATCGACTATATAAAATTAATTAAAAATTGTTCCTTTTGAACTAAATTGTGATCAATTTTGTAAAGTCGAGAGACTAAATTAGGACAATCTAATACTCTAGAAAAAAATTGGTCATACATAAATAATTTTGAGATTTTGTATAGATATATTATAAGGAATATGTGATGGATCATAGGTAAAAAAAAAAATAATAAAGAAATAATTAAAAATAAATTAAAAAAAAGTGATGGATCATAGGTGATAAATATATATGTGGAAATGTGTTATGGAAGAAAAGTATGATAGGTGTCAACAAAATTGTTTTAGTAAATTAATGATTTGTTGTGGATGAATTCGCAATTTATACAAAGATATTGTCTTCTTGTAATGATTATAATTATTTATTTATATTAATTTTTTCATAAAAGCCCAATAAATTAATATAATAAGCAAAAACCAACTTCAAATAATAGGTAAAACAAGACTCTCAATAGTTTGTTTTTTATATATATTTTTTCTCCCATCAAGAAGATATCTATATATAACAAAAACTATGGAATGGGTAATATAATTTCCTTGAATAAGACACCTACTGATGGATCATCAAAATATTTATCAAATGAGACACCCCTTTGGATGGATAGTCGCATCCTTTCCACAAATGAAAGATAATAATCAACAAGAATGATATGATAGTTATCTTAATTTAATGGGACACTTAAGTATGCAAGGATTAATTTTACTATTTTAATTAAATGGTATTTAATCAAAGCTTCATTTGGGACAAATTTTTTTCTAAAGTAACTTCTTAGTAAAAAAAGTTTTTGAACTAAAAATTTTTGTACAAAAATAGTAAGAAAGTTGTCACAAACGAAGCCAAACATACTTTCTAAAATTCTGCTTTAGGAGGTTTTCAACAGCTAAATATTTTACATTGGTTTGTTTACTTTGACTTCCACTTTTATTATTCTTAGTCAAAAATACTATAGAGAAATAATCACAATCTAATAGTTGTGGCTTATATAGGGGTGTCAATATTTGATCCAACTTGAAATCCAACCCAAATCTGACTAGAAAAATTTCGGGTTCGGGTCAACCCATTTGCTGTATAGGTCGAGTTTATGTTCGAGGTTCTGGCCCATTTTTAAAATCGAATTAGGTTAGAGTTGACCTAGAAACCCACAAATGACCTGAAGTGACCCGAATCCCGCCCTCACAACCTCACACAGTCGACCAGCTCTCGCGAGCACGCAATTTGACCTTGCCCTCCCGTCTTGCACTTGTGTTTGCTACCGAACCCACCCTCACGTCTGCTACTGACACGTGCTCGCACCGCACTAGCGCACCCTCAAATACTCACATCCACACCAAGACGCTCGGACCCGCTCCCACGATAGGCGGGACTGCACCCTATGCGGCTAGTCCCTAGCCCATGCCTGGACCCACTTGCCACCGCACCCGTTGTGAGAACCCTTGAATTGCAAGATTTTTGGTGCATGTTAGTCTGTACGAACTGAATATGGTGCAAGTTAGTTTAAACGAACTGTCAGTACGAACTGAATATGGTGCAGGTTAATCTGTACGAATTAAATATGGTGCATGTTCGTCTGTACTAACCTTCAGTACTAACTGAGTTCGTTTGTATGAACTGAACACATCTTTTTGTCATAGCCCATCGTCTATCTAGGGACGAAAATCAATTATTGTCCGTACGATATGTGGATAGAGGAGATCATCCCAGGACGAACGAAAAATATAGTCCGTACAATCCAAAATAACTCAGCCCATTAAATATCTCATTCGTTCGATTTTTGAAGAGAGAGAAAGGGCTGGAGAAAGAAAGAGAAGGAAAGAGGAAGAAAAGTCAAATTTTAGACGACTTCGGTCCGTTTTCGTCTGTCGTCGCAGTTGAGAAAGTTGTTCTACTCCATGTAAGGCACATTACGCCTATCTCAATTTTCAGAAATCTAAGTTTTGACGAATATTCCGATTAAAGTTTTGTTTCCGTTGGCAAAAAATGGGTATAACTTTACACTGATAAAACTTTTTTCGTGTAACTTTTGGTATATCTTAGAGATTATGATTTTGCACGTTTTGAGTATTTTCTAAAAATTTTGCACTGGTATTTTGAAATTTGAGGGGTTTTTATCGAATAAAAAATTATATTGATGTCAAAAAATAGTGATTCAGTACAATAAAAACTTTGAAATGTTATTTTAACAATATATGGTAATTTGGTAATTTTTTGAAATTATGCATTTTTTATTCATTGGCTTTATGTTGTGTGTCGCTATATGAAAATGTGAAATTTTGATATGTGCTCAATTTCTTCGTATTTGTTAAGATGTGATGTTTTATGTGCAAATGTGATTTAAATGATATATGTTGGGAGTTATAAGGGGCCAGAATCCTTTGTGATTTTGTCTATGTCAGGAAAGGGAGGTATAAGGGGCCATAATCCTTTGAGATTTTATCTGGGTCCGGGAAATAGAATATGATCTTAATAATTATGTGTATCTGATATGTTCTGGTGTTGTAAGCACAAATGGAGGCATAATGGGCCATAATCCTTTGAGATTCTTTCTATATCAGGAAAGGGAGGCATAATGAGCCATAATCCTTTGAGATTCTGTCTGTGTCAGAGAAATTCAAAAGGGAGACATAAGTGGCCAGAATCCTTTGAGATTCTGTCTGTGTCAGAAAAAATTTGAATAACTCTGAAATATGATTTGACATGTGATCTGGATTATGATTTGAACGATTTTGTGATACGAATTTTTTTAGTTCTTCTGTATCTGTTATTTTATTCTGTATGATTATATGAATTCTATCTGATTATATATTCTGTACGATTATCTAAATTCTGTCTGATTGTCAAATTTCTGTACAATTATTTGAATTTTGTCCGATTGTCTGATTTCTGTATGATTATATGAATTATATATTATTGTCTGATTTTTGTACGATTATCTGAATTCTGTCTGATTATCTGTTATGTATGATTATCTAAATTCTATATGATTGTCTGATTTCTATATGATTATCTGAATTCTGTCTGATTGTCTGATTTCTGTATGATTATCCGAATTATGTGTGTTTATCTGGATTTCTGATGAATATCTGAATTAGTGAATGAATTGATATGTATTTCTGTTTCATGATTTTCAGTTCAGTGATTTCTTTGATATGCATAAACTGTTTATAAATCTTCAGTAAAGTATTTTGAAATTAGAGTGTCTGAGAATTTAGATCGGCTAGTGTGATCTTGCTGAGCTATTAGCTCACTGTAGTTTTATTCATGATTTTCAGGATCTGGTAAAGGGAAGGAAGTTGTGGACTAGTCGCTCATGTTCTGATATGAAGTTATAGGTATTTTGTTATTTTGATTTTTGTACAGTCATGACTAGTTTACCTTTATGTTATGTATTTTCTGTCTGAAGTCATATACTGTAATATATATGATTATTTTGATAAATGAAAGGAATATTTTGTGGATGAGTTTTCTGTATTTGAAATTTTTTAGTAGCTATGTGTTTCTGTATGTTAAAGAATACTTGGAAGAAAGTCTGAAAAGCAATTCCAAAACTATATCCTAGGGTTCATCTGTCGCGACTCAACGCAATGGGATCCGTCCCGGTCGGGTTGGGTCGTGACACCCGTAGCCGCGCCAATCTCCATATTCCATGTTTCTGGGTAATGTCAGGTTGACCCGTAATAGAATCGGGCCAGGTTTGGGTTAAGGATGTTGACCCGAAACTATAACCGGGCCAGGTTGGGTTAGGTCAAACAATGACAGACCAATTTTGGATTGGACCCAAACCCGACCCAAAAACCTATTTTAACATCGTTAGGTTTCTAGATATAATCAACAACTTCAAGCCTTGAAATAAAACTCATAAGCTGAATATCCTATTGCATTGCTTCAAGTATAATTCGAACTCTACTTCTATAGTTAAAATGGTAACTAATGACTGTTTTACATTTCTCCGAGAAGTAGTTCCTCTTTCTAACATAAAGACATATTTAGATTTTTGATGTTTTTGGAGTCGACGTAGTTGACAATGTCAAAATCTAAATATCCAACCACTTCAAGATGATCAAATTTCTTATCGAAAAGAATGCAATCCTTTGTCCCTTGAATATATATCATGTTTTTTTTTTTTTGCTACTTTCAATAATTCAAATAAGGATTACTTTGATATCTAACTAATATTTCTATTACAATGTTTGAAGATGACTCGAATTTGAACAAATTCTTGATTGGAATGAACATTTACGTATATTTCCTCAATAAATTATACATAAAAGAAAATTACTCTCAAGAAAAAAAAAAGGCTTTATGGGGTATTGAAAGTCAGATTTACCTTTTATTTTGTCCATATATTATGTCACTTTAATATATAGCTTACAAGAATTCTAACTTCTAAATAAAATATTTAAAATATTATTTTATCTTTTGATGTATAATATTTTTGGTAACCAATTTAAAATATTTAGTATAATACAGAAAAATTATAACAAAATAAAATTCCTATAGATTATGTAAATATATTTAACATCTATTATTTAGATTTAAGACTTTTGATTTTGTCCATTTTTTGTTTTATTTCAATATAGAGTTTTAAGTAAATTGAAATCTAATATGAAATATTTAAAACTATTGTTAGAACTTTTGATTTATAATTTTTTGAGTTTAAAGTTTTTTCAATTATAAAATATAAGCAAAATAAGTATTAACATTTTAAGCAAAATAAAGTTTAAATGTCACATAATCTAAAATTTGATTATGTAAAGATTGAAAAAAATATTGAGAAGATTCATTGGATTTGAGAAAATTTTCTATTCAAGCTTGATATAATCTTGTTTTAATGGCAAACAATCATCTATATTATGGTAAAAACAAAATTCAAGCAAAAATTTTTTTTTTTGTCATGTACCAAAATAGTTGGTTAAATTATAGAATAAGTATATTACCATGCATACACTAATTATCCATTTTTTTAATCATGGTAAAATCAAAATCAAATCTGTTCCCAAATCTTTAATTCATCAGTTTCTTTTATGGAAATTTGATTACATGTCCCATAATACACAAAATTTAAGAAATATGCTCATTGTTTTATTTCATGGAAAATATGCATTAAATTGCATTTTCAATGAGTTTACACTTCTTGTATTCATGGACTACTTATTGAAGTACATCCTTTAAAAAAAAATATGATAAGTGTTTTATTATTTGAATTTTATAATAGCTCTAATTATCACCATTAGTGATTAAGTTGTTTAATTATGGGTTAAGGTTTGAATCCTTTAATTATATCTTAGGGCGTCACACTAAACATGCTTTGTATATTTAAACATAGTTATTTGAATCTCTTTTGGTTTTAAAAATCAATTTAGAATTAATTAGCTTCGCTCATTTACACATATTGAAAAGATCCTAAATCTCTTTGACTTTTATTGATTTCATCTCACCTTCTATTTTCTATATCCTTTTATGAGAATTATCATACTATTAAAGTTGACTAAAAAAGAGTATCATCCGTGAATTCCATATCAAACTCATAATCTTAGAGAAAAATGTCATAATAATCTAAGCATATGCAAATACTAATCACAAATAATTTTATTAATGGTAAATTCTTAAAAAACGAAAAAAATCATATGATGAGCTTTGACAAAGAAATTAATTTAAATGCAACATTTATGAACATATATTAATTAACCCGATTTTGACATGCATTGTTAAATAAAGCGATTTTAACTCAACAATTACCGATATATTTTCTTCAAAACACAGAGGACATTCTTTTTTTTTGAAATGAGAAAAAATTAGAGTAAATTATTTTTTCTCAAGTTAGGAAAAAAAATAAAATAGGAATAAATTCTTATTTATACCTAAATGTATTTATTTTTATTTCAACTATTTTTTTTTTATTTTTGAAATTTCTATTTATGCACGTGCAATTAAAAGGGTCAAGTCAAAATTTCCTTAGATAATTCAGGTGTTTATCACAACACCTAATAGTAATATGTCTAAAACCCCTGCCCCCGCAAAACAGTTTAGCATCCACTCCTAAACCCTCGCGAGGAACTGCGAAAAGCGCAGAGGACGGGGCGGCGATGCAGTCGTCGGAGACGCCGGAGAGAGACCTCTACGCTATTCTTAACATCTCGAGGGAGGCTTCCGATGAGGAGATTCGGAAGGCTTTTCGCCAATGGGCTCAAGTTTACCACCCCGACAAGTACCAGGATCCCGAAGTGAGTCCTTTCCCTTCTATCGCTCTTCTTATTTGGTTATCTTCAATCGATGCCAAAAAAAAAAAGGTTTCTTTACTGGATAAGGTTCGATCGTGGTCTGAAATTGTATTAGATTTCGACCCAGGGTTCACTGAATTCAGTTTTTACTTTGCACTGCTCGTTAGTGGTGTGAAAATCCATAGCCTGTGGCCGATGGAATTGATGATGCTCGTTTTTTTTTTTATAGATGAAGGATGTTGCCACCGCTAATTTCCAGAGGATTCGTGATGCTTATGAGATATTGTCAGATGAGCGTAAGAGAGAAATCTATGATATATATGGATTGGAGGGGCTGAATTCAGGGTATGAACTTGGTGAAAAGCTTAGCAAACCAGAGGAGATAAAGGAAATGTTGGAGAGATTAAGGCGGAAAAGAGAAGAAGATAAGATTTTAGCTCATTCCAGGCCAACCGGTGCACTTCTTGCTAATTTGTCTTTGCCCCAATATCTAGATGGCGGTAGCATTATTAGAGGGTACAATGTTCATTTTATTTTTGTCTGGAATTTTATGTAGTATTTAGTTCTGATTATCTGGCTGACCTTTTTTGCATGCATGAGTTATTTGGTTTCTAAATTTTTTTTTGAAATGTTATATTATTAGCATATGCCATTTGTTTGGTTTGTTGTTTTATTTGAATAATAAGTATTTTGATGACATTTTATTCCTATTTTTCTGAAATCTAGATACTGCTAGGTAGGGCAACATATAAATCTTTGGCTATATTAACACTGAACCAAACAATATAGCATTTTACAGCTAATACTGAGCCAACTACACAACATTTAATCTATAGCACTAGCATTTTTTAAGATTTAAACAAACCTCAACTAAAGGACTCTTAAGAGCCTCCTCGGTGTGAGAGCTTGCAGCCTTCTTTCGACTTATTGCAACTTGCAGCCCATGAGTTTCTTCCTTTTGCCCTTTTTTATGGATCAGAGTATTTGCCTTCCAAGTTCTGCTTAACCATTTGAATTGATTTTTTTTTTCTTGTCTATAATCTAGACTTACATCAGTAACTATTTATTTGAATGCTTTTTCATGATAATCAGAATGGCTATGTCCAGTGAGGTACAATCTCGATTATCCAAGCGAAACTCATTGGCAATAGGAGGAAATTTGTCAGTCACTGGTGCATCTGGGACAGGGTCTGCATCAGCTATGCTAAAGCACCAGATTTCTTCAGCTGCTTCTGTAGAGTTTGTGGCTACTGCTGGGCTACGGGCATTACTTAGCGTTCAAACCTCTCGGTATGCATCTTATTTTGTATAGTTACTGGTCTCCTTTGCTGTCTGCAGAGACTATCTATGTGCTTGTTTCTTCTTCAGAATATAAATTTTAATGAGCAATCTGAACTCATACTACAAGCTTGTCAGTCAGCTTTCACAGCATTCATTGGCTACCTCTGGTATTGCAATATCCTTGAGGGATGGTTCAATTAATCTCACCAATGCATGGACTCGGCAAATGTCAGATATATCTATTGCAAATGTAAGCTTTTTATATCTCAGGGTTTTACTGCAGAAATGTGTACCGCTGTTTTGGTACTTGATTTCCGTCAAGTTTTTATCCATTTCTCACATCAATTTGAAGATTTTCTGATTAAAATGATGCGCTTCCAAATAGATTCCTAGTGATTCGTAATATTCAAGAATTTCTTCTATTCTCTTTTGGGTTTTGTAAAAATTGGACACTTCCCTGGAGAGTGCAGTTGCACAAGATTCCAGATCAATTTTTAAGCACTGTGATTTTATATCAGTATTTATTTAAATTTTACTTGTCCTTAAAGCTGCCCTTGAAAATGACATGAGGTTTGTCTGGCATATTCAATCAGCATAAAATTGTAATTCTTGTCTGTATAATCAAAATGAGTGAAGAAAAATGAGATTGTCAAGATGTGGGATGAATTTTGAAATGATTTTACTCATCAAAACATTGGGGTTTTATGCAGCAATGATGAGGCTCCAGAACTTACATTGTGATGTTTTGAGTATGTAATTGTATGTGTAAGCACCAGTATGATGGAGTGCTAGAAATTCTAGAATTAATTTGAAATGGCTATTGATAAATCGGTACACACTGAAACTATTAATTTGCTGTTGTTTAGAAATATTTAGGGTCTGCAATTAACGCCAATGAAGCTCTAGACTTTAATGGATAATTAAGAATTATTAATAAATCAAAATATATTGGATAATGCTTATGATTTTATTGATTATTCTCTTGCATTTATGTTTTCATGAAATGCATATAGTATGCAATAATGTTTTTTCTCATTGACAATGTTTCAGATACATCTTGTTCTAGGAACAGAATCAGGTATCTCTATTGGTTGGCAAACGAAAGATGACAAAACTTCGGCTTCTGGAGAAGTAAAGGTTGGTTTTTTAGTGCTTTCAATACGCACTGTCCAAATCAAAGTGAAACTTCTTTGCTTCAAAAAGCTGTCATGTAGAGGTTGTAGTTGGTGAAGAATGTAATCAAGCTACAGTGTTAAGCCCAATTATGTAAATGGTGATAGCTGGTGAAGAAGCATGAGCATCAGCAAGCCAACAAACATAAAAGATACTCTATTAATCAATGAAAGTTTGGTAGTGTAAACGTTACACTCAGCAATAACATGCATAGAAAAATAAAAAGAACCAAGTAAATCAATACCAGCTTAAAATAATTAAATGATCTCACATATAAAGACTTGCAATCTAATTTCCACCCCCACATGCATGCACATGCATACACATACATAAAAATAGTGCTACATGACTACAACATAGAGGGTGTAATAATAAGAGACATCTTAGCCCAACTATTTGGGTCTGATTATTTGAATTATCCTTCATTGATTTCATTCATTCTTGTTTAGTGCTACATCAAGCACTAGCCCTATTTGATAAGGTCTAGTAAATCTAAATAACAATTGGGAATCCATATATAAATTATAATGAACTTTCAAATAATCAACATTATCATCATTAGTCTTATCTCAATTATATAGGGTCTATTTTATAAGTTCTTCTCTATTCATTTCCATTTGGTGTTTTATAAGATGTCAAATTTACTTTGTACAAGTCTCTTAGCACAATTTTGAGCAATATAACCTTGAATCTATATTACATAACCGATCTAATTGCCTTTTAAAAAAAATTTATCTACAAGCCTCTTATCTCATGTACACCTTGAGGTAATTCTATGCTTTAACTATTGAATTTTAACTTTTGAAGTTATCACCTAATTTATATCACATTTGTTTGCATAATAAATAAAAGATATTTAAATCCATTAGACCTAAATATTGCTTGATCTTCCATCTTTATTAATTGATAATTATCTATTCAATGCCCATCACATTGCATATCATATATTCAATCTTTGATTTACTAATTTTGAGCCTATTATGGCCTTATCTATTCCTTGATTTTTTTTTTTTTTTTTTTTACATTCTTCAAATTTTTTTACTTCCGTTGAGGTTTCACATTACCTAGAATTAAAAAAAAACACTAGTTAAGCACCAATGTAGCTAAAAACATGAACACAACTTGACTATCCAAGAAGAATGATTCACTCAAAAATAAAAAAAAACAACAACATCATAGGAAAGAGTTGTATAATTGATGCCTGCATTTTGGATAACTTTTTGCTCTTCAGGTTTATGCATGCATTTCACTGCTTGGTGCGGCTTGCTTTGCCTAGTGAGGTGAAACCAAGCTTCTGAATTCCAGGCTCACTGCACTTTTCATGTTGTTATTTTATTTTTTTGTATCGTAATGTGTTTCTTATTGATGGCTCACATGGTCAATAGAAGCATCTTGGCTTTCACATTTTGAAATATACCACTTATTCTATTTGTAGTACATTTTTAGGTTGATGCAGTTAAACTCCCTTTATGGAACTAGAATTTTTTGCCGGTGATGTGAAACAATCTCATGCATGACGAGGCCCTTAAGCAAGGGCATACATGGAAAGAAATACAATATACTCATAAAACATAAAACAAAATACAACAAATATAATAAAATCAAAAGTAGATCATGGTCGTAGATCATGCATGTCTCCTCGCGCTAAAACTCATGTAGATGTCCTCATCAGCCGGCTTCGTTGGATTAATAATTCTTAATACTTTCTAATGCGGAAAAGCTAGAATTAAACACTGAAAAGAATCTTGCTACTATTTTGTGAAAGACATTTGTTGATTTCAGAGTTCAGTCAGCTTGGTAAATTGGGTTACCGTTATGTTTTATATAGAAGTGGGACTCCATTAGACTCCTAATACTAACCCAAACTTCTTCTATCATGCTAAAGGGTGCTTCATGCTTGCTATTGTTGGAAATATTTAAACAAGCTGTAATTGACTCTATATGCATCTTTCATCAAAAATCATGCTATGGAGTTGTTAAAACCAACCCCAAGTAGTTAATATTTCCTGCATAGCGATTGTTCTGCAACTTTGATTGTGTGAGCCTGAACAAGATCCAGCAAAGGAAGCTTACTCATCAGGCTTCAGTTTCAAATTTCTTGAAATCAGTTTATAATGATCTTAAACTTTTCAATTGACTTTTAAGATCGAATGGTTTAAGGCTTTGAACTGTTATTTGATCATCACCTGAACCAAACAAAATTCCAACCTGCTCATTCATTGGTAAGTAGATTTTTATAGGCCAAGCCCAAATAATTGGGATAAAGCTAATGCTGTAGATAGTATGATATTTCTTGACTTGCATCACCTTTTTCAACCACTAATTTTTCATATGTAATCAGATCCAACCATTGTTTAGCTTTAAATAGCTGCAAGATGAAAGTTTCAATATGAATCATGGGTTTTTCGTTTCTCATTTATGTTCAAGTTACATTCCTTCCTGTTTTTTTTATCATTTCTATAGATGTAGGTTGATATATTGTTTATGCGCTTCCAATCTTTTGTAGTTTGGTACAGCTTCTCTTGGGGCATCAGCTCAATATATACACCAATTTTCTGCAAAGTCTCATGGTCGGGTATCTGGTAGAATTGGAAGGTATTTTTAGGTTTCAACATTAGCTTTGATACTGTCTTCCCTGTGATATTTTCTTAGAAGCTATGAAATTTTGCTCTATATGATGGCATTGATAACTGCAAAATGATAGTTCAAGATATGGATGGAAATTGACTGTTTGATCAGGTGTTTGGCATTGTCAATACTGAAAAAAAAAAGTTTATATTGAGTAATTCACAACAGCTTCACTTGATAGTAATATATCCATGTGCACTACAAGTCAATAATGTATGATATATTCGTCAACTTTTAATTTATATTTTTTTATCGCATAGTGACTTGTGCTCATCTTTTTTTTGAAGAAACTCTCCTTCTCAATTAGTTAATTTTTTACAAATTTTACCTTGCACTTGTGTTATAAGCTTACAAGTTGACTAATTGCAAAGGTGTGTAAACTTGTTGCATGTGGCCTGCAAATTGTGAAGGAAAACTTGAATAACTTAAATTTACAAGCACTAAAACGTTCAAAAATTGCACAATTATTGATGATGAACATTGAAATGAAATCTTATTTTTTTTTGCTTGATCTCTAAGTGAGTTCATGAGAGGAGAGACCCTAGGTGGGTGAAAGAAATACCCGTCAATCTTTGGAGGAGTCCAAGGTTCACGGTTTACAATCTCTTTATGAGTTCATTAGTTTACTTTTATCTTATTTGTATTTTTCTTTCATCTCCTTTCTCCCCCACTCCATCCGCCACCCCTTCCTACCTCCCTCACCCAATTCATCTTCTAGCTCCACCACCTAAATCCCACCCACCAACCTAGCTACAACCCGCCACCTAGCCGCCCCCTTCCCCCTTTGCCGCCGGCCTCCCCAAGCCCTACAAGCCTCCGGCCATCAATCCACCACCCAATGATTTTGAATTTCAAATTTCAAAATCATCCTTAATTACTTTCCTAATTTGCGCCCTCATTAATTTGGAAACTTAATTACTTAGATTCAAATTCAAATTTGAATTCTAAAATTTTCCCTATTAATAACGTAGGTTAGGAAACCTCATAATCCCATTAAAATCTGAAATTAATTTCAGGTTTAATGGCAAGCCCGAATTAACTCCTTTACGGGCCCACCTATTAATTGCAAACACCTCAAATTTTCCCTCATGTTGCCGGCCCCTCCCTAGTCCCTTTTCTCTCTCCAATTTGCCACCTAGACCCTCATTAAATCATCCATTAAACACTCCTTGACTGCTGCCCAATCAAGCCACCTTATAGGAATTAATTTGAATTTCAAATTGAAGATTCCCTCCCTCTAAATCTGAAAACTAATTTCAGATTTTAACATGACCCCAAGTAATTTAATTAGATCCCATAAATTAGGGATCTAATTAATACAATTCCTCCCTCAAATTAATCTTCCAATCAATTCCTAATCCACCTCAGCCCTAGCCGCCCTCTCCACAGCCTCTTCTCTCTGATTTCTCTCTTTACTGGAGTTTCCAAATGCTGTCCAGATTTCTGGACGTCACCTAACTTGCTTCCCGGTGATTCCAGAAGACCGTTTAGGATTGACCAAGGTATCCTGGAGTGCATAGCTGCTGCCCGACCTTCCCAGGACCTGTTAAACTGCTGCTCAGCAGATTCCTGTATATCTACACTTGCTGTTCAGCCCTGGAACTCACCTTATTGCTGTCCCGACTTTTTTTCTGGTTTCTGTTTGGAGTTTCCGGCACCTAAAACTGGCTGCCCAGATATTCGGGAAGCTGTTTGGGCTGCTGTTCAGAAGTATTTCAAGTGCCGAATTGCTGTCTCAACCCTCATTACTGCTGTCTTGGCGTCCCTTGCTGCTGTCCAGTCATTTTGGTGACCTCCTATGTCTGTCTTGCTGTCCATAATGTTCCCCATCGCCATCTTGAAGGCTCCGAAACCTGAAGTTGCTGTCCACTCTTCCTCAAACGCATAAGCGACTACGCCGGAGCACCGTATTTGTCGTTCCCTTGGATAACTTCTTTCTTTGGGTAAACTCTCCCTCCAATTCTCTTATCTTCTTAGCTTACTTCTTGATTATGGTTTTATTATATTCATGAAGATAATGTTAATGCTTCTCCGCTAAAACCTAGTAATTGGAAGAGTTGTGTGAGGGATCTTTCATAGAACTAATCTTATTGTTAGCATTGGAATTTATTGTTGGAACTATCCATGTATACAACATTGGATTAAGTTGACTGTCTTACGAGCTTAACTTCTATGCGTGTGATTTAGCCTAAGCTTGTTTTCTCACCTTATTGTTTATTTTGTCGTTTAAATCACTATAATGAGTGTAATTATTGTTGCTCCTAAAGTTAAGCGTGCAAGCTCTTACTTCAAACCAATTTTCGCATGATTGTTCTACATCATCTTGGTATCAGAGCATTGTAGGCATAGGTGACATATGCTAGAAAACATCCTAGGAGTTTACCTAACCAACCATGTGCTTGTTTGCATGCATACCATCGTTTAATTAACTTCAGTTCCCTGTTTTCTCTGCTGTCCAGTAATTTCCTGCACCGTTTTCTTCATTTTAAGCAAGACTACTTCAGTGTTAAGTGTTACCCTTGTCACAACTACATCCCTACTTGCTTAGGTTGCTTAAACAAATATTATAGGTTGCTTTCCACGTTTTTCCTGCACCTGTTAGTGACATATAGGTGAGTTTGGGATTGTGTTTAAGTGCTGTCCACACTCTAGAGGCCCTCCAAAACACTTAGACAACTTAGATCTTTGCTGTAGTTTGCTGTCTTGTTCATTTCAGCATAATTTAGAAGCTTTAGGAGCATATTTCCTTAGCGTTTAGGTGTTGCCTTTGACCCGCTACCCTTCCTAGTCACCTAGACTATTTTATCCACTAATGAGGTTTGTTGTCCACATCTTTAGTGCACCTTCTAGTGACAATTTGGAGAGTCTAGCTTCGCTTTAGGAGTTGTCCCCTATCTAGATTCATCCCTAAGTGTTTCCAAGCGCTTTCCCCATGGACCCGATAAGATTTCAAAAGAAGTTGGATGACCTAGTTAGTCTTGTAGGCTCTCTAACTAAAAGTCTAAAACCACGAAGGATGAACATGTTCACTCTCCCCACTCTAGCTATGCGCCCCATTCGATCAATCATACTAGTCGGAAGATGCCCCACTCTGCTTTTCAACCTAGACCTGAGTTTAAGCCACAACGACTAGTGTCACATGACCGTCTACCCACCTTTGATGGTTCCTTGGCCCCTTTCTACTTTAGGGAATGGGTTAGATAATTAGAGGAATATTTTGAATCACGTCAGATCCCTGAGTCCCACCAGGTTAGCAACGCTAAGTCTCACCTCAAAGGTCAGGCTCTTCAAGTTTGGATAAGATTGGAAGATCATAAAGAGTCTCGCGGTGAGTACCCTACTTGGAAAGACATGAGGCGAGAACTTAATTTAAAATACCGACCCTCTACCAGTGACCGCCATCTAGAGCACCACCCTACCTCTTTTGTTGGAACATACCGTGGACGTTACTTTGGTCGAGACCACCCATCTTTTAGTAACATCAAGGTTGCTGCCCCACCCTGTAGGTCTTCACCTAATCTTGATGGCCAACCCTCTATTGGGTCTTATGTTGGATCAATCTCATATGACTCCCCACTTGGATCCACTTCTAGCCATCCCAATCAACCTTTAGCCTCCCTAGTCATTGACCCTGCAAGTGTGATTTTAATAAAGAAATGCATTAACAAGAAAAAGTCCTCTGAACCTAAAACTGAGTGCATCTATTTCGTGGATGCTAATGATATTAATGATAACGAGAACTTCTTTGAGGATGAAACTGAAGTGATTGAATTAGACTCCCTGCTTGACTTAAACCCTGATTTAGGAGGTATAGAACCTTTTAACCTTGATACCTTTGCCCATATGGAGTCTAATCTCATTAATGATATCCCTTTGGATAAGGTCTGTCTGGACGATATTAATTTGATCTCGAAAGAAATTGATCTGACCTTGAACACATTGAAATTAAAATCGGAAGATTTTGATTTAATTACTGAAATGACTTCGAATAATTCTGATTTAATTTTGAATAATTCTGATGGCAATGTGGATAACTTCAAATTGGAAGTGAGTCAATTGAAGTTACTACCTGAATTAAACCCTGATTTAAGTGACCCCGAATCCATTGATCTTAGGGTTATAACCAAACATGATCCTATTGAGGATAGTAATATGAGTTTGGAAGATAGTAATTTGAATATGAAAGATTCTGAGCCTAATTTGAACAATAAACATCCCCTTGTCTTATTGGAGTCTATTTTAGGAGTTGCTTCTTTATATTTACATTTGATAGAGTGTACCTCTCTTGATTGGACTTATCTCACCGACCTTAGTGTTAGAGAGAGTCTTAGCCCATACTTTCATGTCACATTTCTAACTGTTGTGCCCAATTCTGTTATGGATACCCTACCTCATTTCTTGAGTCTCATACTCGCTAGTGACTCTTTGGGCTATCCTACTATGGTAGTGAGTCATGACCCATTGTCTTATCATATTCTTGATTCCTACATTATGCCCTCGATATTCTTGTCCTTCCCTGTTAATGATCATCTCTCTCCTAGTTGGATGACTTTGTTAGATTACCCTACCGTCGCTAGGAGACTGTCTGTGACCCTAGCTGAGACTCCCTATGGAGATGCCCTTTTAGTTAAGGATGTCTTCATTGCTCCTCCTACACCAGTTCCCTTAAATAAAAAAAATTTATGTCCTCTCATTTTGTGACGGATCCATCTTTGTTCCTATCTATGTGTGCTTGTGAGTTAGTGTGCTTATGTGTGTTTTTTTAGTCTGTTGTCTTCTGAAATTTTCCTTTATTTTAAATTTGTGTGTGGATCCACAATTCATTCATTATGCATATCAAATCTCTTGCATCACATTTTTCCTATATCATTTATCTTATTGAGTTTTGAATTTTGGACACATGATTTCGCATAAAACGGTCATTTACATCGCATATGCATGAACTACTTAAGAAAATTGCACGCCTAATTGAACCGAACAATAATAATTATAGGCTTCATGCTGAATTTAAACGACAATATAAAACTTTTGAGGTTGGTAATTCAGTGATGGTGCGGACTTGTCCGGGAATTACATGCTAGAAGTGCGGGATCATGTAAAATAGTCGAAGAAATCAATGACAACGCTTACATGGTGGATATGCTTGTAGAGTTCAATATTCATTCCTTTTCTAACATAGAAGATGTAGTAGCCTATGAAGGTCCAGAGTTTAAACCCCACATACACTTCATATTAAGCCTTGTGTGACCCCACCTTGTGAGAACCCCAAGCCTACCTCCACTCCCAAAATATTCCCAAAATACCTATAGCGGAGAAGGTTGACATGATTCCTAGTGATGATATTATTTCCACAAAAGTGGGTGGACGAAGAAGATATTTGACTAGGTGAAGAGGTGAACCAAAATCAGAGGATATGTGGTCAGAGCACGAGGAGCTACAACAGATAAACCCAGATGCACGAGGAGTTTTCGAGACACCAACTCGACGGAGTCAAGTTTTTCTCCCACCTGGGGAGAATGATGATGAACATTGAAATGAAATCTTATTTTTCTTTGCTTGATCTCTAAGTGTGTTCATGAGAGGAGAGACCCTAGGTGGGTGAAAGCAATACCCGTCAATCTTTGGAGTCCAAGGTTCACGGTTTATAATCTCTTTGTGAGTTCGTTAGTTTACTTTTATCTTATTTGTATTTTTCTTTCATCTCCTTTCTCCCCCACTCCATCCGCCACCCCTTCCTACCTCCCCCACCCAATTCATCTTCTAGCTCCACCCCCCTAAATCCCACCCACCAACCTAGCCACAACCCGCCACCTAGCCGCCCCCTTCCCCCTTTGCCGCCGGCCTCCCCAAGCCCTACAAGCCTCCGGCATCAATCCACCACCCAATGATTTTGAATTTCAAATTTCAAAATCATCCTTAATTACTTTCCTAATTTGCGCCCTCATTAATTTGGAAAGTTACTCACTTAGATTCAAATTCAAATTTGAATTCTAAAACTTTCCCTATTAATAACGTACGTTAGGAAACCTCATAATCCCATTAAAATCTAAAATTAATTTCAGGTTTAATGGCAAGCCCGAATTAACTCCTTTCCGGGCCCACCTATTAATTGCAAACACCTCAAATTTTCCCTCATGTGGCCGGCCCCTCCCTAGTCCTTTTTCTCTCTCCAATTTGCCACCTAGACCCTCATTAAATCATCCATTAAACCCTCCTTGACTGCTGCCCAATCAAGCCACCTTATGGGAATTATGAAGATTCCCTCCATCTAAATCTGAAAACTAATTTCAGATTTTAACATAACCCCAAGTAATTTAATTAGATCCCATAAATTAGGGATCTAATTAATACAATTCTTTCCTCAAATTAATCCTCCAATCAATTCCCTAATCCACCTCAGCCCTAGCCGCCCTCTCCACACCCTCTTCTCTCTGATTTCTCTCTTTACTGGAGTTTCCAAATGCTGTCCAGATTTTTGGACGTCACCTAACTTGCTTCCGGGCGATTCCAGAAGACTGTTTAGGATTGACCAAGGTATCCTGGAGTGCATAGCTGCTGCCCGACCTTCCCAGGACCCGTTAAACTGCTGCTCAGCAGATTACTGTATATCTACACCTGCTGTCCAGCCCTGGAACTCACCTTATTGCTGTCCAGAACTTTTTTCTGGTTGCTGTTTGGAGTTTCCGGCACCTGAAACTGGCTGCACAGATTTTCGGGAAGCTGTTTGGGCTGCTGTTCAGAAGTATTTCAAGTGCCGAATTGCTGTCCCAACTCTCATTTCTGCTGTCTCGGCGTCCCTAGTTGCTGTCCAGTCATTTTGGTGACCTCCTATGGTTGTCTCGCTGTCCATAATGTTCCCCATCACCATCTTGAAGGCTCCGAAACCTGAAGTTGCTGTCCACTTGATGTAGAACGGGTATGTCCGCATCACCACTCTTCCTCAAACGCTTAAGCGACTACGCCGGAGCGCCGTATTTGTCGTTCCCTTGGATAACTTCTTTCTTTGGGTAAACTCTCTCTCCAATTCTCTTATCTTCTTAGCTTACTTCTTGATTGTGGTTTTATTATATTTATGAAGATAATGTTAATGCTTTTCCGCTAAAACCTAGTAATTGGAAGAGTTGTGTGAGGGATCTTTCATAGAACTAATCTTATTGTTAGCATTGGAATTTATTGTTGGAACTATCCATGTATGCAATGTTAGATTAAATTGACTGTCTTACGAGCTTAACTTCTATGCGTGTGATTTAGCCTAAGCTTGCTTTATCACCTTATTGTTTATTTTATCGTTTAAATCACTATAATGAGTATAATATTGTTTCTCTTAAAGTTAAGCGTGCATGCTCTTACTTCAAACCAATTTTTGCATGATCGTTCTACATCAATTATACTGAAAAAAGAAGGCAAAGTTGATTTGTGAGTTCCTTGTAAGATGTAGTCATAAACTAGTGAAAATCTGGTGGTTGGTATGACATTCATGCATTTTGATGATTGCATGTTAGTTTGATGTTTTGGCTAGTACAACTTTTTTTTTTTTTTAAATTGTTAGATTGTAGGTATGTCCAATGTTTTTTGACTGTAGAATTAGTTTGTTATAACAATGCTTGGGAAGTACTCATGGAATGATATAAATGTAGTCTGAATATGTATACAAACCATCTTGATACTTAAAACTATCATTCCAATGAACGGCTGTAAGCATATTAAGACATTTCTGTAGCGTTGTATGTTGGCTTGCTCGTACATGATAACTGCTCGAAGTTATAAAAATAAAGCCTGATAAAAACAGTGAATCATGAGCCATATTGCATCATGCGGTATAGGGCTTATGGTGCTTTGTCCTGTAATTTCAGATTTTTTTTTTTGTTTATTATCTTGGAAAAGTGGAGGGTTGCGTTATTAGGTTTAAATGAGAATTTGACTTTTAATAGAACACAATGGAGAAAAAGGATTCATGTAGCCGACCCCACGTAGTGGGATAAAGGCTTGATGTTGTTGTTGTTGTTGTTGTTGTTATTATCTTGGAAACCCATCTATCATGCAAATATAATGGAATTTTTTTTTAATTTTGCGTGATATCTTATTAGTCTTCTTGTTTTTTTCCTATTTTCTGGGAGTTAAGTTGTTGTTTGTTAATGTTTTTCAGCACTGCCCTTGAATTTGAAATAGGTGGAGGACGGATAATATCTGAGTTTAGTACTGTACGATTATTTTATAATATTGGAATTCAGGTAAATGAGCTTCGGAGCAAGTAGTTATTTTTTTAAATTTGAAGATAATTTTGTTTGGTTGTTTTTTGCATTTATGCTTCTTCATCCTGTAGTTCTGCTCTAATTAGCCTCAGCTGTTAGTTCTTTTGTTATTGGAGACTCCTTAGATATTCACTCTTGTTAACGTATTTGTTGGCCGCCAAGTAGGGAATCTCCTGGAAATTTGAGTTGCACCGTGGAGGCCAAAAGCTGATAATTCCAGTAAGTTGAACATTTTTTCTGAAATAATTAGAGGACATTACCAAAGTATCCTACCAGTTATTCCTTGTCTTTTTTATGAACGTGTACTTGTTGATTTCTTTAGGAAGCTATGCACCTTAAAATTGAAGTTTTTTTTGCAATTTACTTTTGTTAAATGCTTGAAGTTGAATTTTATTAACCACTTCCGTCATTTTAATTCAGAATTTTGTTAGTGACAATATTTGAGTCATGACAAAATATTGGTTGAAGAGAATTCTTTTTTTGACTTTTTTAGCTTTTATGCACATATATCATATACCTGCATTAACCTATAACTAAGGTGTCAATCTGCAACATTTGAAAGAACACATGAATATTTAAATATGCATGGTGTATTGTAAGATATGCATAGTATAAAAATAATATAGGATTATTTTTAATAGGAGAGCAGGTGTAATGCATTGGACTTTTTGAAGACATTAAATATCGTTAAAATGCTCCATATGAGAAATTTCTATTCATATGCACTTAGTCTCATGTAATCGTAGAAATTGATAATCATTAGGTTTATGAGCAATTTCCTCATATTAGCTATTGAGTATCTCATTGTAATTATAAGATTCTCCTTGAGACAAATTTCCTTAATTCTATCTCACTGAAGTTTTGTTCTTTATACATAATCTAAGGAAAAATAACTCAAATGGCCATTTAACTCTTTTTGAAGGACAAAAAAGATCGCCAACTATATTAAAGAATCAATTTTGTCCCTCAAGTCCTTGAAGAGGAATCAAAATAAGTCCTACCTATGGTGGGATTATTTTGGTTCCTCCTCAAGGACTTGAGGGACCAAAATGATCCTTCAATATAGTTGGGGACTATTTTGGTTCTTCATAAAGAGTCAAGGGACAATTTTAGCCCTTTTCTTAATAATCTAGTAACAATAATTCCTCAATTTATTATAATTTCTATTTAACAACATAATTTTTAGTCAAAATAGCTTTAATTTAACGTTGAAATGATTTCTCATCGTTCAACCCTTTAAACCTAACAACATATATACAAACTCAATTTGCAGTAGTCATGAAAAATTGGGATTTTTCTTCTAATCTCGAGCATCTCCTTCTCATTCCCTTCTTTCCTTCTTTCTTTTTTTCTTCTTTATGGCTTTAAGACCTACCTGAGCTCTCTCTGTTCGGTTCCACCTCTCTTGTTACAAGGAAAAATGGGATAAGAATGAAAGAGGTGTAAGTGTTTAAAGTTATATTAATGTAAGTAATAGTTTATAAAGAATAATCTAATATCCTTTTACATTTGAAATCATCTCAATCATTGAAACTACCATCAGCATATGCATGCGTAAATGGAGAAAATGAATTTGCCAATTACTGCTATAGGACATTAGTCACATGAATAGTAATATAAAAAACTTTAGAATAAATACTTGAATTAAGAAATTAATTTGTAAATGCTAATATATTTGTATATTTTTCTATATATCAAAATAATAGGAATAAAATGCAGAATTTAATAAAAAATGTATTTTTAACATTTTTAGGATGTGTAAAAAATGAGTATAAATTTTACGAAAAAATTTTAATGTTAAATTTTTTAATATTTTTGGGTATTATACTTTTAGAGAGGCTTTAAAGAAAATGAAGGGTGGAAAAGCTGTTGGACTTGATGATATTCCAATAGAGGGGTGGAAACGCTTAGGAGATGAAAGAATTTCTAGGCTTACTAAAATTTTTAATACTATTTTGAATACTAAAAAGTTGCCAGATGAATGGATAATGAGTGTGTTAATTCCTATTTTTAATAATAAAGGTGATGCTCAAGATTGTACGAATTATAGAGGAATTAAGTTAATGTGTCATATTTTAAAACTATGGGAGCGAGTTATGGAGCATAGGTTGCGGCGTGATACTAATGTTTCTCAAAATCAATTTGGATTCATGCCGGGTAGGTCGACTATGTAAGCCATACATTTAGTAAGAGGTTTGATGGAGAAGTATAGAGAAAATAAGGAGGATCTACATATGATCTTTATTGATATAGAAAAAGCATATGATAAAGTTCCAAGAGAAGTGCTATGGAGAGTTCTTGATAAGAAAGGAGTTAATAACACTTATATTCAAATCATTAAAGATATGTATGCAGGAGCTATTACTTGTGTTCAAACACAAGGTGGTTTGACCAAGTTTTTCCCTATTTCAGTTGGGTTACATCAAGGATCAGCCTTAAGCCCATATCTTTTTTTCTTTAGTCATGGATCTTCTCACTAGACATTTGCAAGAGGATGTGCCTTGGTGTATGCTTTTTGCTTATGATATTCTTCTTGTTGATAAGACTAGAGAGGGAGTTGAAGGTAAACTTGAATTATGGAGATCAACCTTAGAGTCTAAAGGTTTTCGCTTGAGTAGATCTAAATCGGAATATATGGAGTGTAATTTTAGTAGTAATAGACCTAGTGAGGAGATTGTGACTTTGGGCGATCAAGTCATTAATAAGAGTACTCATTTTAAATATCTTGGATCTATTGTTCAGAGTAATGGTGAAATAGATGTGGATATTATCAGCAGAATTCAGGTTGGATGGTTGAAGTGGAGGAATGCATCGGGCTTGTTGTGTGATAGAAAAGTACCCCTCAAACTTAAGGAAAAATTCTATAAGATGGTGGTGAGGCCTGCAATGCTTTATGGTGCCGAATGTTGGCCATTAAAAGAGAAGTATAATACTAAGTTAAGTGTGGAGAGATGATGATGCTCAGGTGGATGAGTGGCTTTATCCTTAGAGATAGGATACAAAATGAGCATATACGTGAAAAAATTGTAGTAGCTACAGTAGAAGATAAGATTAGAGAGAGTCGCCTTAGATGGGTTGGTCACATAAAACGGCGGCGTTCCGATGACCCTGTTAGGAGAGTAGAGGTATTAGATTTGACTTATGTTAAGAAAGGTAGAGGCAGACCTAAAAAGACTTGGTTAGAAAATATTAGGAATGACCTTTCTTTATTAGATTTAAACGAGAATTTGACTTTTAATAGGATACAATGGAGGAAAATGATTCATGTAGCCGACCCCACATAGTGGGATAAAGGCTTGATGTTGTTGTTGGTATTATACATTTTCTATAGTTGATCGATCTATCCCGGACTCAAATCATTGAAATATTGGGATGAACTAGTTAAATTTGTTTTAGCTAGTCAACTTGATTGCTAGTCTAACCTTCTCTTGAGTTTTTGGCTTCAAATAAGGAGCTATCGTAGCTTATTCCAAATCTTTATCTAACCCTTTCCTCCCTCTTCCTTAATGGACATGACACAGGGAATAGATTGCTTGTTAGAATATTGGATGAGAGGCGAGGTCTTGACTAGTTTGTGGATATCATGAGTTCAACGATGAAGGAAATGTTGATTTCTCTCATCCATCTCTTATCTTCATGAACACATGTGTGCGGATATGCATATAGGTTATATCATTAGCTTGGCCTAACTTTCTTGTTGGGATAGGCTGGATTAGTTTAATTGGTCCAAATATAACCCATTAGCTCGTTAAACATTTTGTCTGATCTTCAAGACATTGATCACCCTATTATTATGGTAGTGTTAACCTACAATAAACCTTTTTTAGAAATGTTTTGACGAACCATTCACATTTCATTTAATGTTTAGAGGCCGAGAGAAGAATAACTTTCGACACTTCTTGTCTGAAACTATTGTTGAAATTAAATCAAGTTTTCGGTACTCCGATTATTTTTTTCTTTGCTAGTTTTTGGTTTCTTAGACAATACTTATCCTATTTGATCAGTGCCTTCGTTCTTATTGTGAAATAGTTCCCTATGATTAAATACAACATCAGCGTTCTAATTTTTGTAACAAATTCTTCCAACCATTTGTAGTTTTATGGCAACAATAATAATTGGTGAAGATAGTGGTCGATCTACATCATTATGGCTCCACAATTGCTCATCCTTAACATAAAGAAGAAGAGTGGGAGAGGGAAAAAAAGAGAGAAATTCTCATTAAAATTAAATTTTGAACTTATTGCTTACAATATGACATTTTTGGATATTTATAAAAGTCATTCCTAATGCCACACAAAGGCTATACAATGTAAAAATATAAATTGGAGTAACTAACTAATAGTTGCTCTTATCTAAAACTATTGGGTTTTTACAAAAGCAATCCACGTGCAAATACTTGTAACATGAAATATAAGATTATACTAACAATCTTCACCTTGGTTTAACATCTCCAAACAATAGTGAATTTTACTCTTAACATCTCCAAACAATAGTGAATTTTACTCTGTTGACCTCGATAGCAACTCTGAGGTTGAATCAATCGCATAAGATAAAAACGATAAGTGAAAGATGCGATGTTGAGTGAAAGTTGTCTAGAACGCGTCGGTCAAAAGTCAAAATCACCAAAATGGCTTCCATTTACAAAATAAATAGTGGCAACACATTGGCGATAGCAGAAAAAACTGAGATTGACATCTATATTGGCCGGGGTCTCCGTGTGAGAAAAATTGAAAATTTGCGCTTGCCAAATAAGAACGAAATCGACGCTTGCGAGCAATGAAGATTTGGAGAGTGGATCTATGTGTGATTTACGTAAATAAATATGTATTATTATAAAAAAACTTAAAATTAAATGACTATTTAAAAATAAAAAAAATCAATTAATTAAATCAATTTATATAAATAATAAAATAATAAGAAAAATTTTGAAAATGACATTTGCCCTTTCATGCTGTCATGCAACAACTTTTTAGAAATAAGAATCCAAGAAAAAAAAGAAAAAAAAAACACAAATAACACCCAACCCCTCTTCTCCTCGCTCCCTAGCCGATCCACGAGCCATACTTATGCACGCGACCCTTAGCCCTCATACGACCTCCAGATTGACAATCACTCCCGTGAGACCTTGGCAACACGTGGTCCCCCATCGTCTGCCTGCACACTCGCACATTGCAACCAAGCGACTGGTGCTACCCGACCTAGCCGCCGACTTCCTCTCC